GACCTGGGGCGCACAGGCTGTCGGGTGAGGGGCAGGGAGTCGGGCTGCACGAGACGGCGGCGCGGCCAGCGGGCGACAAGCCCAAGTAGGGGAGACGGAACCAGGAGGGCCGGAGGAAAACGGGGAGACAGAACCGGGGAAAGGGGTCAGCCGGGAGGGTGTGGAGGAATACCCGAGAAGGGAGGGCGAGCCAGGCCGGGGTTACCTGCTGGGTGTCTGTCCCCCGGCGGTGCCCCCGGAGTCCGGGTAGGGAGGGGGGGAGCAGCAGGGGGGGGAGTGGGGGCTGGGGGGGCGGGGGAGACGGTCCCTCCTCTGCCTCCTGGGCCTGCCCCGGCGCTCGCAGCCTCTGCCTCCCTCCCTCCTCCTCCCCGTCCCTGAGTCCCGGAGTCAAACAAAGAACTGTAGCAGGCTCTCCCCAACCCCCTCCCTCCTCCTCCTCCTCCTCCTCCTCCTCCTCCTCCACCTCCTCCTCCCCTCCCTCCCTCCCCACCAGCAGGCTCCCTCCTCCTCCCTTCCGGTCTCTTCCTTTAACTACCCGCCCCCCCCAGCCCCCAGCACTCGTCTCTCCCCACCCACCCACCCCAACCTTTTTACGCACCCCTCAGCCAAGCCCCGGCCCCGCAAAGAAAACTGTGGAGTCCCTTTGCAAAATTGAAAGGCTCCAGACAACACGGGAGGGGACTGGGGTCTTGCTTAAAAAATCAAGAACCACGATACAATTATTTTATTTTCACGGCCAGAGGAATAGTCTTAGCTGTTTCTTCTCCAAGAGGGGGAAAAAAAATAATCCTAAAGAAAGCAATACAAATCTGACTAAAGCCCTCATCAAATAAAGTGCACAAAGCAGCGGGAGCTAATCCCCAGGCCCCTCCCTCCCACCCGCCAAATTAAGGCCAACTCTCCACTCCTCCCGAACCAACTTCTAAGGTCCTGGCCGGCCTGAACCAGGCCTCACAACTACAATCACAAAAATCCTAACTATCACGACTTAACCACAATAATGAGCATTTTATAACAAGCGTTCATTCAGTATTTATTCTGCACCCGGCACTGTGCTAAGCGCTTTGCATAAATTATCTCATTGCCCCCCCAACTGCCTAGAAGGTATGTATTGATATTTAAATTTCCAGATGAGGAATATGAGGCTCAGGGAGGTTGTGACCTTTCCAAGTCCCGATAGCCACTAAGTGGCAGAGCCGGGAACAGAATCCGGGACAGACCTGACAGCCCAAGCTCTAAAGCACTTTAACAGAAAAACCGATTTTTTTCCTAAGATCGTGACCAAACCCGGGGACTCAACTCAGGAGGGAAGGGCAGTCATCACTATCACCCGGGTCCCCCTCCCTCAGGAAAGTGACCCACCCACCTACGCAGAAAAAAAGACCTGTACTTTGCAGTCTACCACCGTGTCCTGACCCTTCTCGGCACTGGTGGGTGTCACTAATTGCGATCCGAGACGGGCTGCTGTCCGCAGAACGCCCCAAACCACACACAGCTCTCCTCCTGGGAGTAGCTATCTGGCGACCACTCCCACTTCAACTCAAAATGGGGAGGGGGGCCAGAGGACACTTAGCCGTGCAGCAGGTGGGAAAGTAAAAAGAGTGCCGGGAGGCCCTTTCAAGGGGCGGAGGGGGCTGGGAAGGAAAGCTCTCCGGCCCGACCTGGGGAAAAGTGACCCCGGGTTCCCGGAGCCCAGCAAAGGGCCAAAGTCTTTGGGCCACACCACACCCGTGCCCCTCCCCCTCCCAAAACTCCATTCCAGGGTTTCCCACCTGCAGGCTGCTAAGGCCAGGGGAAGGGCGAGGGGGAAAAGATGGCACGGGGTTGGAACTGGACTCGGGGCAGAGGTTGGGGGGGAGGGGGAGGCGGAATGGAAAGGGGAGGAGGCCTCCGGCCTGGCCGCCGTCCCAGGGCACGTGCACTAGTGACATCATCCCAGGCCACCTCTAACACAGACCTTTGACCCCTAGGGGCGGAAAGGGGCCTTTGGCTAAGCTTCCTGGGAAAGAGCCTTAGGAATTCTGGGAACCCAAAAGGGAGAGGAGGGAAGGCACCCCCGGCGGCCTGCCTTTATCTCTTCTACCCCCCGTCCCGCTCCAGTCCCAGGGACTCGGGCTTCTCGGCTCCTCCTCCCCGCCTCCAGCCCTGACCTCCCAACCCACATTTCTGACGGAGTCCCGACACGCCTCTCGCAGATACTGTGCCTTCTGTCTCCCCGGCGAGATCTCAGGTGGGGGGCGGGAGGTGGCGGGCGGGGGCTCCGGGTCCCGCGGGGCTCCGTCTCCCATCTGCGGGATCCCCCGTGGCCCAGCCGGCCGCCAGCCGGAACCTGTCTGGGTCCCCAACTCTCCCGCCCCTCCCCGCGCCGTTCCAGGGCGGAGTCTGTGGAGTTGAAACCAGGACACGGCGAGAGGAAGAGTTATATAACCCGGAGAAGCCGAGAAGGACGACTGGAGCCCGGGACGCACGGCCCGAGAGGAGCCCGGGGAAGTGCCAGAGCACGAGGGCGAGCGGGGAAGACACGTTAGGGACGCGAAGGGCTTAGGGTGCATCAAAGAGGAGGAATTCACGCGACGAAGGGGCGTGGTGGCCCGGCGGGAGTCACCCGGGCCGGCCGGGGCTTCCCCGCAGCGCCCTCCCGCGCCGCCGGCAGCAGCTGAGCGCGAGCTACGGAAGCCTCGGGAAGGGGCGCAGACCCCCCGTTCCGCTCCCCCCGGGGAGGCAACCTAAGCCGGAGCCCGGGAAGGCGCCGGCGGAGCAGAAGGGGCCGGAAACCACAGCTCCGCCCAGCCCACCTGGGAGAGTGGGGCGCCAGCTGGGGGTCGGTTGGAAACAGGTAGCCCACCCCTCCCACGCAAGGCCGGGCAGAGACCCGGCGAGAGGGGACAGGCGGATCCAGACGCCCGGGTCCCGAGGGGCCGAGCAGCGCAGCCCGGGACTAGTTTGCAAACACACATTCAAACGCGGGGGGTTGGGGGCGGCGGCTGTGCGGCGAGCTGCGACTCGCCGCGCAGGCGCAGGGGGCTACCAGGGCGCGTGCGGAGGAGGGAGGGGGGTGGGCGCGAGCGTGTGGGAGTGCACGTGCGGGTCCCGAGCAGCTTCCCCCTCCCTTCCTCCTCCGCTCCCCCTCCCCTCTCCCTTTTCCTGTCGCTCCATAAAGCCTCCTCCACATTGGCTGCCAGGGCCCTGACGTCAAGGGCCTCCTCGGGAGCCGATTGGCCCGGAGCGTGAGCTCGGGAATCCGGCTCCAGAGGCTGGCTCTCGGGTTACTCCGGCAACGCGGCAAGCAACCCCGGGAGGGCGGCGGAGCGGCGCTCGGTGTGGCGCCTGGGCCCCGCCTCCCTCCGGACGACCGCCGAGCCCCCTTCTGCGGCGGCGCGGCTCGAGGCCTCCCCTCCGTCCTTCCCGGGCTCGTACTGTCCGGAGAACCAGGCGTCCGGCCCCGCAGCTGCCCCGCCCCCAGGTCACAGCCACAAGCCACAGCAGACAGGAAGCGAATCTGCGTTGCTTAGTGACCAAGCCGCGTGCCCCCTCCCCACTATTTACCCCAGCGCGGGGAGGTGGAGACGGGAGTCCAGCCCCCTCCCCAGCCTCTGCCCTTCGCCCTCCCTCCCACGATTTCCTGTGAGGGGCCGAGATGACAGGAAGTCAGACGCCCACCTCGGCCCACCTTTCTCTCTGGCCGGGCGGGGGTCTTCAGCCGCTCCGCCGGCCACATTCCCCCCACCTCGTTCCCGCAGCCCGGGCTGCGCGTCTCGCCCTCGCCATCTCGTGGCTGCGCTGGGAAGGTCCTCGCGGAGCAGGGCCCGAGCCGGCCGAGGGCGAGGAGCATCCGAGTCGGGTAGTAGGAACAAGGAGGGGGGGCGGCGGGGTGCGTGGGCGCGAACGCTCCCGCGGGGAGACTGGCTGCCGGCGCTCCTGGCGTGAGGGTCAAGGCCGAGGCGACGCACCTCACCGTGGGAGGAACTGGAGGGAGACCCGAAGTGGCCCCGGGACCGGAGACGCATCCCTGCTCGACCACACCCGACCTCAGAGGGCCATCGCCCTGGCCTCTCTGCGGACTCTGACCTTCAGTTCTGCCCTTCTGTTAGCGACTATCGCGCCTCGCCCCGACCTAGTGCTGCGGAGGGGAGTCCCGACCCCAGGGGGACTGCGAGCCCTCTCAAGCCCCTCTTGACCTCCGAACCCAAGGCTTCTGCCCGCCCGCCCGCTCTGCCCCCCACCCCGCCCTTCATTCTAGGGAACCCTGGTGTCCTGCGCCCCGATCTTCTTTCCAGAGCCTTTGCAGAGACCCAAACGTCCATTCCCAGCTCTTCAAGTCCGGAGACTCGGGCGTCCCGCCCCCCTGCGCGGAGATGGTTTCCCTTTTCCAGACGCCCCCGCGGCCCCCCGTTACCTGGTTCTGGGGTGTCCCAGGTGCTCAGGCTCCCCAAGGTCTCCCAGGGGGTCGAGCGGCCCCCCCCTCTCCCAGGCCGGGGCTGGGGGGGCCGCTCCGCCCCGTGGCGCAGTTGGATTTTCCAACACAAACACCGCCCCCCCCTGCGCCCCAGCCCCGCCCCCTTCTCATGGTCCCGCCTCTCCTCGAGCCGAAGTCCCCCCTCTCGAGCCCCGCCCCGCCTTCGGCTGTCCCGCTCGCCTCGGCGCACGTGCCGAACAGGACGCCCGGTGCCGGGCGCCGGGCGCCAGCTACCCGGCCCAGCCCCGGTCCCTGCCGGACGAACCCCTATTCCATTCGGATCACGCGCGTTTCCAAAATAAGCCCCGCCCCGCCCGCTCAAACCCAGCCCCGAGACTTAGCCACACCCGTTTTAGGCCCCACCGCCCTGCCCCCTCGTTCAAGGCCACACCTCCCGCTTCCCAAGCTCCTTTTCCCCGTCCAAAGCTGTCCCTCCGAGGGGTTCCCTTCCTCTGAAAGACCCGGGCTTCCTCTCTCCCCAAACCCCCACCACCCCATTGAGAGGCTTAAGGCTTGTGGTTGCGGGCGTTTTACTGCTCTGAGCTCCGATGCAATCCTTCCACCTTTATTAAAGGCTATCTCCAGGGTCACGCGGCACAGTCAGTCACGGTCAAGGCCAGAGTGAAGTCCAGCCCTAGTCCCAAGTGCATGATCAGTCTTGGCCTCCAGAGTCCCCGACCCTCCCTCAAGCGGGGAGGAAGACGAGGCCTCCTCAGCTGTCCAGGCTCATGAGTAGAGCGGTGCCCCTCTTGATCCAGTGATCGGATGTCATGGTCCCAGAGCGGAGGTCGATGCCAATGATGAAGGAGGCCCGGTCTGAGCTGCCCGCCCGGATGGGATAGTAATAGCAGGGACAGGAGTACGTGCCTGGAGGAGAGGAGAGGGGACGGGGTCAGAGCGCTGGGGCCTCTGGGGGAGCAGGAGCCGGGGTGGGGGAGGGGCGGAGCGGAGGACGGGGTGGGGGAGGCGGCTCTGGGGACGCCATCCTACCCTTGGCCGTTTTCTTGCGACTCTCTGCGGGCCTGAAGTGGATGGTGGGCATGAGGCAGACGAGCTGCATGGGGTCCGCCTCCACCAGGCAGGAGTTCTTCCGGTCCCAGCCGGCGCCTTCTAGGTACAGGCCCCGGACCCACACGCCGTCCTGGGAAGACACGGGGGCGGGGCCGGGGGGCGGGGAGGAGTGTGGACCCGGCCCGTGCGCCCCACGCCCGCCTCCGCTCTCCTCCCTTCTCAACCGGTCCTTTCCCAGCTGGGCTGAGAGCGCCCCCCTCCACCTGTCCCGCCCTCGCACGGAGCCCCGGGCACATCTGCCCCCACCTTGGGTGGATACACGAGGTTGCTGTCGTCCACGGTGGAAACAATAAACTCCCAAGAGAGGCTGTCCACCGAAATCTGGGGGGGGGGGGGGGGGGGGAGGCGAGAATAAGGGAGGACCCCTGACGCGGAGGGCAAGGCCTCGTCGCCGCACCCCCCCCCAATCACACTTGGCACGTGGCTCACGTTATTCTGGCGCGCGGAAGACTGCAGCACGGCCGTGAGGAAGCCGGTGGGGAAGGTGAAGCCCGACAGCCAGAAGAGGACGGGCGGCCGGGCCCGGCTGGCCCACAGCTCGAACTGCTCCACGCGGGTGGCCAGGTCCCGCGTCCACGACGCTAGTGGCTTTTGCGAGGGGTATGCCTGGGGGACGGGAGGCGGTGAGTGCCTAGGTGTGCGTTCACTCACGCGTTCAAATCTTTTATTTTTTTAAAGTTTTTTTTTAAATCTTTATTTTTGAGAGACAGAGACAGAGTGTGAACGGGGAAGGGCAAGGAGAGGGAGCCACAGAATCGGAAGCAGGCTCCGGGCTCTGAGCTGTCAGAGATCATGACCCCACGGGAAGTCGGAAGCCCAAGCAACCGAGCCACGCAGGCGCCCCCACGCATTCAAATCTACACTGGGCGCACTGGGCGCAGATAGGAGACGAGCTGTGGTGTCAGCCCGTCCCCCCTTACAGCGGGGCCAGGCTCTCTGCAAAAGCCCCCTCCCAGGAGAAAAGCATAAAGCGACCACTATGTAACCGTGGCAGTAACAGTGCGTTACCCAGTTATCATTAACGAAGCACCTACTAAGAGTTAACGCACAGGGAATCCTTGACGCGTCCCCGGAGGGGTGAGTAACCGCCCTAAGTCCCTGAGTTAATAGCTGCAAAGCCAGTCTGTGAATGGCGGGACCAGATTTCAAACTCGAATCTGTGTGGCTCCAAACCCCAGACTCCCTGGCTTTTGCTCCTAGAGCCAGGAGACCAGGGGAGCAGGGGCCAGAGGACTCAGTGTTGGAGTTGGGGACCAGCCGCTGTGGAACCTTGCCTTTCCCCAGAGCGGAGGGACGTGGGCGTCGAAGATGCAATTGAAAATCTCTTCCAGGCTCGTAGACATGACGATCAGGCCCTGGATGCCTTTTTCTAGATCTGTCAGTGACAACCTGAGCAGGGCAAGGCGGAAGCTTAGGGACGGGATGGGCCTGGCCCTCCCAGGTGGGGGACTGGGTGGGGGACGCGCCTTTCCTCTTGCCCCCCCCCCCCCACGTGCCACGGATTCCCTCTCCATCTTACAGGATGGTCTCCATAAGCTTGTTGTATCTCTGGATCTCCTGCAGAAGAACCACGTTGAGGGGGGAGGGGTCCATGGCCAGCAGTTTGCGGGTCCCCTCGTAGTCGATCATTTCAGGGATTTTCTGCTTCACGTCGGCAGCCAGCTCGAGGACCTGGCGGGCGGGGGCTCTGAGTGGGGGCCTCTGCTTCCTCGCCAGCCCTCCCACTGGGTGCCCCCCCCCTTACTTTCTCTTCCCGGCTCTGGCCTCCGGCGCTGACCGGTGTGATCTGGGGCTGCAGGGACAGCAGAGTCTCAAAGAGAGTCCGTGCCTCAGTGATCTGGGAGGCCACATCCGCATTGGGGTGCTGGCCGAAGGCCTCGGGCGGGTCCATGCTGGGCAACATGCTGATGTATTCCTTGTAAGACGCCAGACCCCCGTCTTTGGGGATGTAGTAAGTCTCCAGGGCTGACAACCTGGGGACCCACAGCGCAGGTATGACCGCGCTGTGGGCCACACTCCCGGGGCTTCAGCGCCAGGGCAAGACCCCAGCCCCTAGGCGGGTGCATGGCCCCCTTCACCCAGCCCCCTGCGCCCGCTCCCCTCCCAGTCCCACGAGCCCCGCCTCCTCCCAGCCTCCTGGCCCCTCCTCCAACACTCCCAGTGACCACAGTCCCGCCGCAGGGTCTACCGGCTGCCCCCTGCCCGCCCCCCCCCCGTTGGGCACCACCTCCCCCTCACCGGTAGAAGGGGGTTGACAGAGCCTGGTCACAGAAATACTCGTTGATGTAGGTGGTGAGCAGCCGCCGGTCCCAGTCATCCGTGACGTGCCCGCCGTAGTTGACGCCTGCGATGAGGTACTTGAGAGCATCCCAGGGTGTCTCCTCGTACTCCTCCAGGTAGAGACCCAGCAAGTTCTCGGACACCTGTGCACGGCGCCAGCCCCCCCCCCACACACACAGAGTTAGGGCAGGAACCTCCCACGGGAGGCCGGGAGTGGGGGGAGCCGCGGGGCAGGAAGCAGACAGGGGGCTGGGATGCCGGCCCCCTGTTAGCACAGACCTCAAAGTCCGAGTCGTTGAAGCCGTAGATGATGTTCCAGCCGAGCTGCAGGAACTTTTTGCGCTCCAGCAACACGGAGTGGAAGAAACAGAGGGCAAAGAGCAGCTTCTTATATTTGGCCGGTTTGGAGCAGCGAGAAAACTGCGTTTCCGTCATCAGCTGGTAGAGGCGCGTCATGTTGGCCTTCAGGCCCTGGGGACGATGCAGGGCGGACATGGGGTGGCGTGCATCGTGCTAAGCCCTGCCAGTAGCACCGTCACAGTTGTGGAGGCTGCTTACTGCCCAAGGGCACTGGCCAAAGAGGTCGGTGAAGGCTGAAATGCAGCCCTTGACCTGCATGCCAGGATGCGCACTGATTCACAGGACTGGGTGGGTGCCTTTCACTAACTTGCACACGGGCACTGTATGGGCTACTGGCAGCTCTAACTCCTTGTCCCCCCACTTTTGATCCTCGCGGCCGTGATGTTCTCGACGGTGGGTAGGCGGCTCAATTTGGGAATACCAGAAAATATGAAGACCTATACATGCAACTATTAATCCACAAAAACGTACACCATTAGGTGCAAAGGTTTGGTGGAGATTAAAGGGGCCATAGTGTATCATCAAAGAGGGGCATGCCATGTGATAGATTCATCAGGCTTCGAGAAGAGGTTGGGATTTGGACGAAGCCTCACAAATGGGAAGGAGACCGTGAGGCTGAGGGGGCATTGGTCTCCTGGACATGCAAAGAATTGACGGAGTAAAAGCACAAAGGGGAGAATAGGTAAGGAGATGGGTCTAATTGAAGTCAAGCTGGAGGACTCAGGTGGGGTCAGAAGGGCCGTGATTTACCAGGAGTCACGGGGCCACTTCCTGTCTCGAGTATGACCGCGATACATTGAAACAGTGCTCTAAGAAGACTCGTCTTTACGGGGCGCCTGGGCGGCTCCGTCAGTTAAGCGTCAGACTTCGGCTCAGGTCATGATCCCACGGTTCATGGGTTCAAGCCCCGTGTTGGGCTCTGTGCTAACAGCTCAGGGCCTGGAGCTGCTTCAGATTCTGTGTCTCCCTCTCTCTCTGACCCTCCCCTGGTCATGCTGTCTCTCTCTCTCTCTCTCAGAAATAAATAAAAACATTTAAAAAAGAATAAAAAAAAAGAGACCCATCTATGATGGACAGAATGGAAAGTAAGCAAGAATATTGTCATTTATAACATCAAAATATGTAATGTTTCTAGGAATAAATCCAATAAAAATGTATAGATCTTTATAAAGAGAATGACAAAACTGTGGAGAAAGAGACTAGACAAGGAGAGACATACTATAATCATGGATTGGGAGACTCAATCTACTGATGATGTTGATTTCCTCCCAACTGACCAATAGGATTTTGTGTGTAGAGCTTGACAAGCTAATTCCAACATTTCTGTTGGAGAATAAAAAGCCACACTCAGCCTGAAGAATGAGGTGAAGAGACTTGCCTTAGAGGCTATGAAGCATTATTATGGAGCCAAACGGTAACTAAGATGGTATATACTGATCAATATAAACAACCCAACCAATGAACAGAAATAAAGGGCCCAGAAACCTAGGTGTGTGTAAAGGTGAGCTAAGGCTTGGCACCATCGGATGGTGGGCTATTCGATGGTAATACTGGGAGAATGGGTTATCTACTTGGGGGGGCTGAGGGGGAGCAAAATTAGACTTCTACCTCATTCCGCACTCACAAGGATCCATTTCAAGTGGCTAAAACCCCTGAATGTGAAAGTCAAGTTATAAAACTCTCTTATTTATTTATTTCTGAGAGAGAGAGAGAGAGAGAGAGAGCGTGAGCAGGGGAGGGTCAGAGAGAGAGGGAGACACAGAATCTGGAGCAGGTTCCAGGCTCTGAGCTGTCACCACAGAGCCCGACGCGGGGCTCGAACCCACGAACCATGAGATCATGACCTGAGCCGAAGTCAGACGCTTAACCGACGGAGCCACCCAGGTGCCCCTAAAACTCTTTTTTAATGTTTATTTATTTTCGAAGGAGAGAGAGACAGAGTGTGATTGGGAGAGGGGGAGAGAGAGAGGGAGACACAGAATCCGAAGTAGGTTCCAGGCTGTAAGCACAGAGCCTGATGCGGGGCTCGAACTCACAAACTGTGAGATTATGACCTGAAGTGAAGTTGGAGGTTTAACCGACAAAGCCACCCAGGCGCCCCTTATAAAAAACCGTTTTGAAGACAAGAGTGTGGCTTTACAACCTTGGAGTAAGCAAAGATTTCTTGAACACAACCTAGGAGCACAAGCCATAAAGGAGAAAACAGCTAAATTCCATCTCATACAAATAAAGGATCTCTATTCACCAATAACAGCAGCAATAATAAGTTAAGACGAAAAAAGACAACATGCAAAACAGAAAACTGACGAAGGATTAGGATGCAGAACATATGAGGAACCATGAAATATGAGCAGCATGAATCAATGTCAAGTACACAGTGCTGAATGAAACAAGCACGTTGCAGATGAGTGTGTGTGTGTGTGTGTGTGTGTGTGTGTGTGTGTGTGTGCGTGCGCACAGCGTGATTCTGATAGCCAGACACCAAGAAAAGTGGCTGCAACTGAGTGGGGGAGTCAGTGGGAATGGTAGTCATTCTTACACACGAAGATGGGCACACAGGTGCGTATTGAATTGGGATCTGTGGGGTGCCTCGTGGGTTAGTTGGTTGAGCATCTGACTTGGGCTCAGGTCATGATCTCACAGTTGGTGGGTTCGAGCCCCGCATCACGCTCTGTGCTGACAGTTCAGAGCCTGGAGCCTGTCCTTGGATTCTATATCTCCCTCTCTCTCTACCTCTCTCGCACTTGCTCTGTCTCTGTCTCTCAAAAATAAATCAAAATGTTTTTAAAAATTAAAAAAAAAAAGAATGGGGATTCTTTATATCTTGCATATATTTTAGCATTTTTTTTTTTAGAGAGAGTGAGTGCAAGCACGAGTAGGGAAGAGGGGCAGAGGGAGGGGGAGGGAGGGAGGGAGAGAGAGAGAGAGAGAGAGACAGAATCCCAAGCAGGCTCTATGCTCAGTGGGGAGCCTGATGCAGAGCTTGATTCCCTTGACCCTGGGATATGACCTGAGCTGAAATCAAGAGTCAGACACTTAACCCTCCAAGCCGCCCAGGCGCCCCCTCCTGCACATATTTTATATATTTTTGTATCTGCTTAATATTTAATGAAAAGGAAAGGACTAGATGGCAGGCAGTGATCCAAGAATACACTCCAAATCTGTACTTCAACGGGCGTGGCGACGGGGGACTGTGGTCATGCGGACCTTCTTTCTTGTAAAACTCAAATGCACCACTGTCCTCTTGACTATTTGGGCTGCCTTTGTGTATCCTGATGCAAAAACTGGCCTCTTTCACAGGACAACAAAAGTGCAATATCTGACCCAGAAAGGATCCTGTGCTGGGGGACAATTTGATAAAGGACAGGATTGGGTCTTTAACACAATTGGAATATATAATAGATTTGGTTAAAATACTATCAATTTATTGAGGTTGGTAACTGTGCTGTAGTTTGTATTTAAAAAAAAACCCAAGTCCTTCTGGGTGCCTGAGTGGCTCAGTCAGGTAAGCGCCGACATCGGCTCAGGTCATGATCTAGCAGTTTGAGGGTTCAAGCCCCGCATCGGGCTCTGTGCTGACGGCTCGGAGCCTGGAGCCTGCTTCAGATTCTGTGTCTCCCTCTCTGACTCTCTCTCTGCCCTCCCCTGCTTACACTCTCTCTCTCTCAAAAATAAACATTAAAAAAATATTTTTTAAATCCTTCCCACAATTGAGCCCTTTATGCCAAAATACACTGAAGTGTTAGCGGGGAAAGTTTACTCTTAATGTTCAGAGAAAGAACGCTCGTGCACCTGTGTGTGTGTGTGTGTGTGTGTGTGTGTGTGTGTGTGTGTGTGTAGACGCAGAGAGAGATCAAATGATAAGGCAGGGGAGGCACCATGTTAACAATGGAAGAGGCTGGGAAACACATGGATGGGTGTGAAGCTGTGAGGACACAGTCTTCTTTTTTTGTAAGTTGGCTCCAGGCCGAGCGTGGGGCTTGAACTCAACCGGAGATCAAGGGTCACACGCTCCTCCCGCGGAGCCGGCCAGAAACTCTGTTCTTACAAGCCTTGCGTAAGTTTACAGTGATTTCCAAGTAAAACATTTTAAAATAGTGCCCTCTTAGTCGGCTCCGGAGAGAAATCCTGTTGTAAACAAGTACCCCCTGAATGCTGGGCCTTCGCCAAAGGTCTGGCTCAGACTGGGAGGTTCTGCAGACCCGGGGCGGTAGGCCCAAGCCAGGGGGGGCCTCCCCCGGGCCCCCCCCCGCCCCGATTCCAGGTGGCCCCCACCTTCACTGTGTAGCCGGAAGTGGCTCCCGCCTCCGCTCCGGCACACGCGTGCCCGCCAGGGGGCGCTGGGCCAGCAGGGGGCCCTCCCGCCGCCGCCGCCGCCGCCGCCGCGCACACCTTTCTTGGAAAGCAGAAAGCGGTTCTTCGAAAAACGAAGGCGCCGCTCACAGCCCTGGGATGGGGACATCATCGGCGGCGGCGGCGGGCTGGCCACGCGCTCCGAGAGCGTGGGATTTATGGCCGTGGCGTGCCAGGAGGAAATGCCTCGTAGCCAGATGGGATTCAGGCCCGGGGCGGCGTGAGACAAGGACTGGGCAGGATCAGGAAAAGGGCAATTTCTCCATCAAGTTGTGAAAGAGGGAAATGGAGAACGAGCCAAGTTGGAGGTCAAGGACCAAGTCTGGAGATAGAACACAGGCCAAGAGGAAAAGGAAACGCAGGCGGGAGACAGAGGGAGAGCCCCAAACGTGTGTCGGGGAACCCCCGGGGGGGGCGGGGGGAGCAATCGACCATGTCAGCTGCCCCAAGACAGGCGAGGACGACTCACGTGATGAAAGACGTGTGTCCAGACTTACTGGCTGAGTACCTACTACGCGCAGGTGCTAGTCCCAAGGTGAGCAAGACAGAGAGCGAGAAGGAAACCAGACGTGGCCTCGGCCCTCTGGAGTTTACAGTCTAGGGAAGAACCACGCACATGTGGTAAAAGGACCGTAGGAAGGTTCTAGAGAGTGTATCACTGGGATGTTGACCTCCACAGGGAGAGCTGAGGCCGGAGGGGGCAAAGGAGGGGATGTGGGGGAGGGGTGTGAGGGGTGCCCAGCACCTTGTGCAGAAGCCTTGGGGCCCAGGGCAGGGTCTCAAGGAAGAGGAACAAGATATTTTAAGAATCAAGGGTGGAGCGAAGAAAGGGAGGGGAGAATGGTGACGGGCGCCCGGCGGCCCCAAGAGGCTCCGGACCGTAAGGGTTTCTGTCTTGACCAAAAGCAGTGGTGACCGCAGCTGGAGCGGGAGGGCCAGCTGGGGGCCCAGCCCGTGGGGGCCGCGGGGACAGACGCGGGGAAATGCTGGGAGGCGGGAAGCCTCCGTGGGCTAGCTGTTTACTCTTCTGGGCCTCAGTTTCCTCTCTGTACAACGGGGGGTAGGGGCACCCACCTGCTGGGGGGGTGTTTTGAGCGCACCTTCTAAGCGGACGATGCCGGGCACCTGCTACTACTCAGTTGGAAAGAAGGGGGTGGGGCCAAGGGGCCCTGTCGTTGCTGAGGCCGGGCCCCCGCCGGTGCCAGCAGGGACAGAGCGGTGCGTACCTTCGGCGGCTCTGTGGTCATCTTGATGCTGGCCTGCAGGATGGAGATGGGGAACTCGGGGTGCGGGCTGGAGCTGAGCCAGAGGCGGAAGGAAGGGTGGGGGTCCTCCACCTGCAGCTGTTCCACCAGTTTGTCCAGGTTGGGCATCCAGGACAGTGACAGGTGGCAGTTGGCTAGGAACACCCAGTGTCCTGCAAGGAAGGAGACGCTGCCTTCAGCGGGGGCCCTTCCCTGAGCGCCTTGTGTCCCCACGCTTCGCACCCGATGGCACGCGAGTTGGGGAGGAGGCCCAGGGCCCGGGTCTGGCCCTCCCGGTGGCCCTGTGGAGGAGTGGTGGCTGCTGTGACGGCAGTGGGACCGCGGCCGGAGGTTCCGGGAGTGAGACCCGCACCAGGGAGGCGAAGGGGGGGTCAGGATGGGGCACTGACCCTGAATGACACCCTCTCGCAGGAGCCGGGCGGCAATGGGGGCCTGGCCCTGGCCCAGGGACAGGGCGTGGAAGCGCTGGGCCATGCCCGTGTGCTCCGCCAGCTGGAGCAGGGCACCAGTGGGGTCCACACCCGGAGACAGGATGAACACCAGCGGGGTGCGCGGGGTCGAATCCTCCACCACCTGCCGGAAGCACGGGGCATGGCCTCAGGCAGGGGTCACGTGGGGGGGGCGGGGACTACGGAAGAGCTGCGGGTGGAGGGGCCGAGGAAGGGGGTGGGGTGGGGGGGGGGCGCTGTGGGCAAGGAGGAGACCAGGCCACTGACCAGCTTCATGTTTAGCACGGGCGGCTCGATGAAGCGGGAGCCGAGGTTGGAGACGATGAACGAGGTGACACAGAAGGCCACCCGGTCCTGGCGCAGGGAGCGCACGATCAGCATTCGCTGCATCTCATTGCAGGCGTTTTCCCACTCACCTGGGGGTGGAGCGGGGCCGGGAGGCAGACGCTCGGAGGCGCCAGGGGACGGGGACCAGGGGGGAGGGCCCGGCGGGGAGGGGAGAGCGCACCTGGCAACATGGCCTTCTCCGGGCTGGCGCTGGTATACCACAGGTGCCAGTCCCGAGGGTACTGCTCGAAGGAGTTCATGAGCCCGTGGAAGTTGGTGAGCTTGTCTAGCTCTGTGATGTTGTCCCAGTAGGCGTCGGCCAGCCAGCCCGGACACGGGTTGTCCATTTGGCCCTCGCGGTCCAGGACCTGGGGGCGGAGAGAGGAGGAAGGCACTGACCCTGAATCCCTCCAGGGAATTAAATGATGAGGAAGCCGAGACCCTGCGCGGGGCACCATGAAGAAAGGAATCTGGGACTCCGAGGGGGGGCACCGGGATCCGCCTGGACTGGGGAAGTCAGGGGGCGCGGGGTCTGGGCTCCCAGGGGCTGAGCAGAGACCTCGGTGCAAATTCGGGGAGCTGGCGCCCTCTGGTGGCCTCGTGGTAGCACTGGCTCTTACTCTAATGATCTCGCCGGGGGAAAGGGCCTCACCCTCTTCAACGACCCCGTGTTTTGAGCACTTGGGACACGTCCCTGAATCAAAAGGGCACAGACCTCTGCCCTGGAGGAGCTTATTTTCCAACACGGGAGGGCAGAGAATGAGCCAAAAACATAACGAATAATTAAGTTATCGAGTGCTAGTTAAAGATGACAAGGTCAGGCAAAAATAGAATGAGCTGAGGGGCATACAAAAGACTGTAAGCCAGGGGGGGAGGGGTAGTGGGAAGTATTCCATAGGAAAGTCAAGGACAGGGGCGCCTGGGTAGCTTAGTCGGTTGAGCGTCCGACTTTCGCTTAGGTCACGATCTCGCGGTTCGTGGGTTCGGGCCCCGCGTCGGGCTCTGTGCTGGCTGCTGGCTCAGAGCCTGGAGCCTGTTTCAGTCTGTGTCTCCCTCTCTCTGTGACCCTCCCCTGCTCACGCTATCTCTCTCTCCTAGAAATAAATATTTAAAAAAAAAAAAAAAGGAAAGTCAAGGACATCTCAGTGAGGTGCAATTTCAACCCAGTGTTGAAGGAGGGGAGTGGGGGCCGCGAGCGCACCTGTGGCAGGAGAGACAGGGAATGCAAGAATTGGGGGGGGGGGACTGGCGGTGGGAAGTGACCCCAGGGGGGTGGGCGTGCTGACGGGTTGGGGGGTGGGGAGCACTGAGAGGCTATCAGCTATTAGCTACTCTGCACGGGAGGTGCCCGCGATCTCCGGGAGGGTGGGCAGTGACCGCCCAGGGGAATGTGGCGTCGCTGCCTGGCATTGTAAGTGCCTAACGGATTTAAGCCGAGTCCATCCAGCGTGGGAGCGTGTTCCTCCCGCCAGGCTCGGCCTCCTGGGCCGCACGGGAACAGCAGAGCGGGATCCGCCCAGAGGGGTGGTCTCCCCAGGCGAAAGCAATGTGGGCGTGGGCGCTGAGGGTGCTGGCGTCTGGGTGACCACGGGGCCCAGGCCGGGGAGGGAGGGGCTCGAGCAGCAGTGGAAGACGCGAGAGCACACCTGTCAGCGGGTCACAGGTACGAGGGGCCCCACACCCCCACGTGTCATGTGAGCGGCGCCCACGCACCCCCAGGGAGCCACACAGGCACCTGTTCCTGGCACTTCTCCTGGGCCCGCTCGCTGGGGCCCTGGGCCTTACCAGCTGGCCCGGCTCGAAGTGCCGGTCACACGTGTCCCCGCCCCCAGGCCCGCGGCCTCGGCCCTGCTCACCAGGCCCCCGCGGAGAAAGAAGTTGTATTCGTCCATGTTGAGCTTGCCCGAGGTCTCCAGGATCTTGGCGCACATCTGGAAGCTGAATAGCAGCTTGTGGCGCTCAAAGAGGGTGCGGCAGGTGTACCTGGAGACGGGCACCGGGGCGGAGGGGGCAGGACACGCGACGGCAGAGACCGTGAGCGCGGGTGCCACAATCACGGAGCCTCACGCACAAGAAGGGCCCTAACCGGCATCTCAGCCAACCTTCACGCCCACGGCCAAGGGCTCAGGGACACGCGAACCCCGCCATTCGTGGCCACGACACACCACGCAGCACTGACTAGACCCTGCTCGCTGCGGGTCCCGAAGGCGGAGATGAACGAGCTACAGCCTGTGTCCTGGAGGAAGTCAGCTGAAGAGGGGGGACAGATTCTGAGGTGGCGTGATGGGGTGGCCAGGCGGAGGAGGGATGGCTGGGTAGGGGCCCCCGCTGCGCAGGCAGCTGGAGAGGAGCAGCGGGGCGCAGGCATGGAGGAGGGGCAGGGAGGACTCCCCGGGGAGCCGGAGCCGGAGCCAACTCGGGCCTTCGGGAAGAGCGGGCAGGGCAGTCTGCAGAAGACTCAGGAGTGAACCCGCAGGGCAGGGAGGGGAAGGCTCAAGGCCCGGGTGGCCCCGAGGTGGGTGTGGGTGCTCATCAGGGGCGAGGACCCTGAAGGAAGGGGGAGAGTGAAGAGTGTGTGCCCCCGCCCCCACCCCCGCCCAGGGGCCAGGCTCCGCCCCAGGCCTGCTGGATCCGGACCCGGATTTCCCCAAGGTTCCCGGTGCTTGCAGGCCACGGAGCCACGGGGCCACGGGACATGGGCTGGCAGCGTGGACACGCCCAGACACGAGTGTGGCTCACGGGGCTCGAGCTCCGTCCCCACGGGGAGCAGGGGACAGGCCGGTGGCGGCGGCGCGGGCGCACCTGTACACGGCGTAGGTGTGGTACTCGTTCAGGTAGTCGATGCGGTCCTCCAGCTTGTTGCTGCGGTGGCTCTTGTCGATGCTGAGGATGAAGAGGTTGATGTAGGCGTCCAGCGAGAACTGGTACATGGGGTCGATGCGGCCCATGTCGTTGAGCACGAAGAACAGAACGGACGCCCGCTGGGCACACGGGCGGTAAGCCTGCGGAGGGGCGGAGCCAGGGCTGGGGGCGGGGCTGGGGCGGGGCGGGATGGCGGGGGCGGGGCCAGGGCTGGGGCGGGGCCAGGGCGGGGGCGGGACGGGATGGCGGGGGCGGGGCTCCACCGCCCGCCGCCGCTCACCTCGCGGGCCAGGTCGATGTTGATCTCCGTGGTCTCGCTGGTCTCCAGCTGCTCGGACACCTCGGTGGCGGTCATCTTGGACGTGCGCAGGGTGTTCACCAGCTGCACGTCGTCGAGCAGGGAGCCCGTGGCCTCATTCAGCAGCCTGAGGGGAAGCGCACAGGTGGGGGGGGCGGGGGGAGTCCTCGGGCCCCGCCCCCCGCCCCCCGTGCTCGCTGCGCGAGGCGGGCAGCAGGCGAGCCCTCACCGAAGGATCTCGTCCTCAAGCTCCTTGAGCTTTCTCTTGCCGGCGGCGATATTGATGACCAGCGAGTCCTTCTGCTCCTCCAGCTCCGGCCGCTCCTTCCGGACCACGATGCCCAGCAGCTGAGCCTCCAGGCCCTGGGGGCACCGGGGTGCGCGGTGAGACTCGCACGCTGGTGACGGCACACTCTTGGCACCGGTCACCCCTCCCAACCCTCCCAGCTGCTGCCCAGCGTGGGGGGGGGGGGCCTTCGTCTCCATCCCGCCCACTGCCGGGGTGCTTGCTGCCCCTCCCCGGTTCGGCCCAGGCCCCAGCCCCCAGCCACCTGTTCCTTGACGGCAAAGTTGACGATGGTGGTCTTGGCCGAGGTCTCAGGGCTGTAGTGGGGGTTGGAGAGCTTGGTGGTGATGTAGAAACGGAAATCGGGGTTGTACTCCACCTCCTTATCTGCGATGCGCATCAGCAGCTGGCCCCCTGCAGCCGGGGCAGGGGCCCTGGTGATGCGGGGCGGACCCAGCCCGGCATCCAGCCGCCCTTCCGGCCGCAGCCCAGGGCTGTCAGAGTGGAGGGACACAGCCCAAGGGCGAGCCCCTTCCCCGCCTCGTGGCCCACCGAGCCGGTCTCTGGGATTCGTCCCCCAGTCCAGCACCAGGTGAAGCCTGGACCCTCACCGATTCGGGCTACAGATTTGTTGAGCACAGGGTTGAGTGTGGGGTCCAGATATTCCTGAACGTTCTGGAGCAGCACTGGATATCCAAACTGGATGGCCTTTTCTAGAATTTGAAGGTAGTCGCTCATCTGCAGGTCGATAACCTGGAGGCCCTAGAGAGGTGGGGACACAATGAGGGTCCGAGGGAACATCTGACTCCAGGGAAGGGCCTCAGGAAGGGACAGGCTTGGGAAGAGATCCTGGCGGCACAAAAGCAGCCCGCCCCCCCCCCCACACCACACCCCAGCCTTTACGTGGTTTCCTTCCATGTTCTTGATCCACTTCAGGGCCTGGGCCTGAGGGTCAATCATCAGGGCCCACCTGAAGGAGGGCGGTCGGTCAGAAGACAGGCTCCGCCCTCGCCCCGCCCCCGCTCCCCAGCAGCTTCGCGTACCTGTTGCCCCGGGTGACGATGATGCCATTCTCGGTGGAGAAGGCGTCCGAAGGCAACCCTTGGATGTTCCAGTCCCGAACTTTGGTCGGGTTGGACAGGAAGTTATCAAAGGTGAAGCGCGGTGAGCAAGGCACCTGAAGCTCCCAGATCTGGGCGGGGAAGAGCCCCCACCTTCAGCCTAGAGGCGAGAGCGCCCCCTCTCCTCCCCACCCCCGCCCGGGTGAGGTGTCTCTGGTTCCTCCCGGAGGCCCTGGTCTCGCAGCCCCATAGACCTCACCTTCCTGATCCAGATCTGGTTGACGATCTCCTCCCGGTAGTTGGTCAGAAAAGGGCCCATGTAGGACAGGAAGGCGGCGGCCAGGAGACAGTCACCTACCAGGTAGCCCAGATCCTCCTCCAGGCCCTGGGGTGGGGGTGGGGGTGTGAGGACCCGGCTTTGGGGGACCCTGGGGGGCGCTTTCAAGGCTCTCTCCCCTGGAGGCCGGCTGCATCACAGAGGCACTTTCCCCTGTCCTAAAGCTTTGGCCCTGAGAGCCCCAGCCTGGTTCTAATTACATCTGAGTCGCCCGCTGTCTTTCACGGCCCTGTTTACATTCTGGTGACAAGGCCTAGCCCTTCCCTGAAGCCAGGAGCGCCACAAAGGCGGGGACACGTCGCCAGGGACTGTTCCCGTCATCAGGTTGGCGGGCTCCCCAGGCCTGGGCAGACACGGGAGTGGCCTCCTAATGGCACGGAAGTCCTGCCTCCCACTCCTCTCAGCGAATCGGAAGAACAGGAGCGGGGAGCACTCCTGGCCCCCATTCTTGGATGTCCCTGTCCCCAGGGGCCCCGTCTCCCCTGACTGTCCCTCAGCCCGCAGGGCCTGGGGCCCCGAGCTGACCTGGACAGTCTCCTCCCAGCGCGCCTTCTCGCTGGCCAGCCCCGACACCAGCAGCCCGGCTCGCTCCAGCTTCACCTCCATGTCCTCCGACTTCTTGCGCAGCTCCTCCTTCTGGGCCAGCTTCTCATCATACTGCTTCTTCAGCATCTCCAGCTTCTCGGCCACCTGGGAGGGACCAGAGCGCCTCGGTCACACACCGCGCTCCGGCTCCCATGGGCTGTTCGGTGGCCACGGGGCCTCTGTTTCCGGGTGCGCCATGCGACAATGCCGACTCCTACCCCGTAGGGCTGTTGTGGTCACCGAGGCTGACCTGCAAGATCCCGGAACTGTGAGACATGAACTCCCCAAGGAACTGTCCTTAAAGTAAAAGCACCGGGGGCGCCTAGGTGGCTCAGTCGGTTAAGTGTCTGACTTGAGCTCAGGTTATGATCTCACGGTTTGTGGGTTCAGGCCCTGCGTCAGGCTCAGTGCTGACAGCTCAGAGCCCAGAGGCTGCTTCCAATTCTGTGTCTCTCCCCCCACCCCCACACCTGCCCCGTCTCTTTCTCAACAATAAACGTTAAAAAAAAAAAAAAAAGCCAAGTGGAGGTCCCAAATGCCACCTTCGGGTGACAACATGGCTTCCCAGTCAAGCCTGGGTAGTAATCTGTCAGAAGGCGTTAACATCCAGGGAAAGAAGGAGTCACTCCCAAGGGGCGAGGTCCAGGCCACTCAGGACGACACAGTGGCTGGGGGCCTGGAAAGGGAGGGGTGCCCTGGCGCTTGCCCGGGTGGGCTTAACCCCGCTGGAGGCCACACTGTCCGGCGGTCTTCACTGCGTGCCACCTGTCGCCAGGTTCACGTGACTGCCTCCCTGCGCGCAGTCCAGGCTCGTCAGCAACGCTGATTATAATTGGGCCTCCCGCAGAGCCGCGTCTGTGGGGAGGCAGCCAGCCCGCGGTCCTTCTGTATTTCATCACTTATTTTGCATGTGGTGGTGTCTCTACTGTTTCTATTTTTTATACAAGAAATGCACATGTCAGGTTAAAGACCTAAATCATACGATAAAAGGGTTATAACGAAACCTCTCCACTCCTGGTCCCATTCTTCAGTAGCAAAGTATTATTATTATTATTTTTTTAATATTTTTATTTATTTCTAGGAGAAAGAGAGAGACAGCGTGAGCAGGGGAGGGTCAGAGAGAGAGGGAGACGCAGACTCCGAATCAGGCTCCAGGCTCTGAGCCGGCAGTCAGCACAGAGCCCGACGCGGGGCTCGAACCCACGAACCGCGAGATCATGACCTAAGCGAAAGTCGGACGCTTAACCGACTAAGCCACCCAGGCGCCCCAAAGTATTATTTTTTTTAAGAAAGATTTTATTTTGACATATCGCTTTGCTCTCCTGAACTTATCCAGGTACCATTTTTTTTTAAATATTTATTTATTATTGAGAGATAGAGAGAGACAGAGCATGAGCTGAGGAGGGGGAGAGGGAGAGGCGGAGACAGAATCCGAAACAGGTTCCAGGCTCTGAGCTAGCTGTCAGCACAGAGCCCGACGTGGGGCTTG